GCTATGATGCAATGCAGATGTGTCTTACACACCAACTTACCCTATATTGTACATATAGGCAGGAATGAGAGGAAGGACATTTTGAGTACAGTGGTGCAATGAACACAAAAGTACTACCTGAAAGAAAAGTTTCTGATTTTTACAATAACACACATAACATATCACGAACCTAGTAATAAGCAACTTCATAAGCATCTCACAGAATGATATCTTTCTCTCAAAAGTTCTACTAAAGATAACTTGGAAATGGTTTTCCTACTTTACCAATGATTGATGCATATCTGAATACATAATTTCCCTAATTAATAGGTAATTTAGTTTAAAAGACATTCAATTGTGTTGATAATCCACTTTAATTCCACAAAATAAGTGGGACTAGTCAGCCATTCATGACTTAACCATTAGATTTCTTCTCATGAGTCATGATTTCCTTTTATCTATTTTTGAGCTCATTTAGCTAATTTTTAACACATCTCTAGTCAAAGAAAGAAAAAATGAATGATAGAAAGGTCTTGAATTTGTAGTATTTTAACTTAATGTGGTAAAATTGAGGAAATGAAAACTCGTGTCCATAAAGATTATATCACTGTCATTCCCTGCTAACATCTATTGCTGGAATGTCTCTAGTTCAGACTTTGTTTCTATTTATTTAACTTTTAGAAATCACATCAATTACTGTAAAGAATGTGTTAGTTATATCATACACTGCATTCAGCATGGCAAACCACTTTTAATAACCAGACCAAGTATTCTGTCATTTCAGTAGTGACTCTTAATTTTTAAATAATTATTAGCACAGTCACATCATTTTGGAAATGAGGAAAACTCAACACTGAACACGTGGAGTCAATATTTCAGTAGAAATAATTGGTCACAGTTTAACGATAGAGCAAGATAACTTTTTTCTTCAACCTCTTGGTTTTTACAATTAGTAGAAGAACATTGATGAACCACAGAAGTTAATCTTCTTTCCAATGCTCTAATAAAACCTTCCAAACTAACTTACAAAGAAAAGTT